GGACCTCCACCGTTGCACGCTGCCCAAGCGCACGAAGCTCCATCGCTGGTCGTCTGAGCTCGCGCGCCCCTAGCAACCCATGGCCAGCCACCAGCTCGCTCTCACTCTCTTCCTGCCGCGAGCTCCGCTCCAGAGCACGCTAGTCCCTGCACCAGCTCCTCGCAGCCCCCAGCTCTTCCACGGTAGCAGCTACGTGCTCCACCAGCTCACAGACGCCACTACCACTCTTCCTCCATCTCCTCTCGCGTCTGCCGCTAGCAACGCGTGCCACCTGTCAATTTTTGGCAGGTGGAGGTATTGAATTCCTCCCCTAATTGGGATTCTTTCTAGATCTTAAATTGCTGCAGTTGTGTCTTCTTCTTGGGTTTCTTGTTGAGCCATCACAGGAGCTGCTTTACTTGATTTTTCACTTGTGATTTGTTTTGGGCTTCATCTCCATTTTTGGGGTTGATTTGGGGTTTCTTGGCAAATTGTTTCCTGATTTGTTTTATTCTATTTCTGCTCTGCTTGGTGTTGTTGGATTTATCAATGATTTGGGGTGGCCATTTATGTTGCTTCGTTATCTGTGGGACGCACCGGTGGTACTGGTTGGGGTATTATAACTACATTTGTTGATACTTGGTTCTAGTTAGTGGGCTACTTGATTGAAAACTGCCAAACATTTTGATTTAGTTGTAGTCCAAATTTTGAACTACTATTGCTGGTTTTGATGGTTTCTTGGGTCATTTGCTAATTTTGGTAGGTTTAATTGGGTATTTGACTGTCCAATTAGAGACAGTTGTTGCGATTTTGGGTGGAATTGTGTCCAATTGCTGAATTTGTTATTTTGATTGGCCACTAGCACCGCTCTTAGTTGTTTGAGTTGTTGTTTTGTTGCATTATTGGGAGCTGTGTTTTGGTATTGTGGGTACTTTCTTTTTGCGGTTGTTTGCTGCATTGGGATATGAATGTCGTTTAAATTTACTTGTTGAAGTCGGTTGCCTCTATTTGCCTTGTTTGGAGGTATTGTGTCTTTTTGTTTTCAATCACTAAGTTCTTGGGAGCACGTGTTGCACTTTGGACTGTATTGATTTTGAAATTGACTACATTGGGACCGCAAGTGCTTATTGATTGCCATTGCTATAGGTGTTGGGGTATTTGTATGTCCTCCGGGTGATTGAATTGTACATTTTGCTCATTAGGTTGGCTTTAAAATTGTTATTGCTTTGAATTTCCGACTTCCATTATTTGTTGGCAATTGTAGTCTTTTGTTGCTTAAAGTGATATCTAGAGTCCATGGTGAAGCCACAATCCTCCTCTAGGTCTAGGACACCTAGGACTTCGCAGCCTCCTCCTACCCCAGGAGCTGACGAATAACACCAGCTCCAGATGCGAGTTGAGCGACTAGAGACTCGGCTGGCCCACATTGACGTCAATGTGCATAACATGGCGCAGAATTTGGCAGCATTTATGCACCATGCGGTCATTGCTCCTCAATTTCCACCTAACCCGCCACTGTTTTGGTAACTTCAGGGAAGTCTCGTTGCCTTTTTTCTTGCTATTATTGTTTATTTATCACATTGAGGGCAATGTGTCATTTAGGTGTGGGAGGGGGAGATCAGTTGGGGTGCTAGTATTTTTTTTGTTTTTAGTTTCTAGAGGCTTTTCCTTTATTTTTAGTTTGTTTTTGTCCATCTTTCATTTATTTTCTTTTCTTTTTTTCTAGTGGTCAGTCCTTATATGAATACCAAGTTTTGATGCCGGATTCTTGTCTCTAATTCTGCTATTGTCAAGTTTTATTAATAAAAGGGTATCAAGTTGATGTGGTTGAGTTTAGGAACATCTCTTTGGTGAATATCAGTACTTGCTTGACTTTTCTAATTTTTGGTTAACTTTTCTTGGCATAGGGAATAATTGTTGGCATTTTTCATGTGAATGGATCCAGTTATTAATTTTAGTTCTCCATGTTTGGAAATTTGAGGCTGGCTGCTATTATTCTTGTGTTGTTTTTAGATATCGTGCTATATGGTTGTAAATAAGAGTTGACTGTACTCCGCTAGTGGTTACTACTGAGTAACTGGGGATCTTCATCTAAAGTGTCGATTCTCGCATCAAAAGGTAATAGTTACTATGAGTGTGTGGTCCCGTAGCGATTGGAGCTGAGTAACCGGGCTCTTCCATCTGGCAAATGTTGGAGTTCACATCAAAAGGCTCTAAGGGCTATAGACTAAGTCTTTTGTTACTCAACAAAAAGAAAAAAGAAAAGAAGTAAAGTAAAGATTGTGTTAGTGTGTGAATAAGTCAGCTTGCCAGTTTGTGATCTTAATGTTGAGATTTTGGTTAATAGTTGGACCATTTGCTGATAAATGTGAGCAACCATTCCTTTTTCTTAGATTAGTTTGCTTTAAATTGGAGGAGTTGGTGGTTAGGAAGCTAACCAGGGTGGGTTTTCTTGGATCTTAACTTGTGATGCTTGATATATGTTTTTCTGGGTATCTTGGCAATACGGTAGTTGGAGCAATAGCCATTGTCAAATTTTGGTGTTCAATTGCTGTTCTCATGCTTGAGGGCAAGCATGATTTAGGTGTGGGGGGAATTGATAGGGTGTTAATTATTAGTAATTTTATTGTTAATTTCTCCCTTTGTCCTTGCCAAATATTGTTTAAATTGTTAATATATACTTATATTTGGTACTTGGACCTCTCTACAAGGAAGTTGAGCTGAAATATGCTAAAAAGGGGGACATGTTGAAGAAAATTGCTCCACACGTGGGAGACTCCAAAGAGCTTCACAAACCCTGGCCCACAAGGTGCCACAGACGGATTGCATTTCTTTTGCTGATTAGAATAGTTGCTGACTAGAATTTTTCCTATGAAGAGGAAACTAAAAGCAAGGACTTCGGCAGAGCTCCAATTCTTTGGCCCTTGGACTCTCAATTCGGTGGAAACTACTAGATAGATAGCATTGTGTCATGTTTTCTTTTGGCTTTAAAAGGGACAATCGTAAGAAAGGCTAGGGACAGCTTTTAGCATAGTTTAGTTTTTTTTCTTTCTTGGTTCCTTTGATGGCCTGGACCTCAATTAAATTACGTGGAGATTTTCTCATGAGGCGTGGCTAAATTTTTCATCTAGTCGAAGGTCAACTTGAAGACTCGATTCCAAATATCTGTGAGATCGAATTAATTTTATTTATTTCTTTTATTCATTGGTGTTTGTACATTTCTTGATTTAATTGCTTATGCTTGTTATGTTATTTGAATGTCAGGGGCTCGATATTTGAATTAGCTTAATGATCTAATGCCAAATTAATTGATTGAATCCGTAATTGTTTAAGTGATTAATACCAGTGGCGACTAGCGTAATTGGTTTTATGTTAAGGAAACGTATGATCTAACTTAAACAAACCCTCGTAGCGTGTTTGTTGGTTAGGGTTAGGTTTTTCTAATTATTAATGCAATCGAGTAATTAAATCCTACGGTCGTACCTAAGGTTATTTCTTGGTTAGAGAAATAGTTAACGATCGTACCTTAACTATCAAGAAATTAAGGAAAGGTTGGTTATTCATCGCCGTGTATGACAACTATAACCAATCTAGTAATGAGTAATTGAATTATCTTTGCATCGATGATCAATTGAATGGACCGTGTCTGAAAAGTTGCACCTTTGGCTAGAGTTGTATTGGTTATTGATTAATTTTGTTTATTTCTATTAGTTGATTCGTTAGTTAGTTAATTAGTTATTTTATATTTTCCAAAAAATCTCCCATGTGCTGAACTCTAGAAGAAACGAATTATCCCCAATCCCTGTGGATTCGACCCTACTCACCGCTATATATAAAATTTGTATTTTTCTTGAGTAGGTAATTATTATTGCACAGACTCGACAACTTGTCACCCCCCTCCACACACACACACACACCCAACACACAAACCCAAACAAAAAAATATGCAGGCAACTATAAGACATATTTTTAATTTCAGTTTCATCCCAAACCATTGCCCTCCTTCAAGATGAAATTGTAGAAAATTCCCCCTCCTTCGTTTCCTTTTTCTTTTTTTTTTTTTGAGTTGCAGTTTATGCAAAAGCTTTGTAAGGCATTAAAATGGAGAGTGATGAGAGGTATCACTGATTTTTAGATCACTGGTGTATCACCACTTTTGTAGATGTCAAAGTAGGAAATGCCACGCCATCATAATAATTTTTTCCAAATTTAAGTACTGTAATTTTTTAAATTAAAAAAATTTTCGATTTCATAGCTTTTCTAAATTATTGAGTTTCCTTGTGCACATATGGAAAGTGTTTGTAGGAAATTCGGATGTTGGGTATACCCTCTAAATAATCTCTGCCGCGTTCCCTTCTCCATGGATTCCGGTGAACTCCATAGACAACTTCAATGAAGTATTTTGCAATTTTCAATATACTTTTAGAATAAATAAATTAATAAAACCAATCTATGCATATCGATGTTTTTTTTTGTCGAAACGGTATATGATTTTATAGATGAAAAGAACCTTTACAGTTTCAAGTAAAGACTTGAGCGAACTTTACAACCAGTGCATAGTAACACTGAGAAATCCAAAATTCCTGATCTACAACAAAGTCTAGCGCTTGCACGCTTATCCTATGAGTAATATGGTTAAGATTCCTATTAATTAAACAAAAGGAGCACATACAAAACAAGGACTTAAGACTATAGATATCCTCCATCAGGGTGAGCATTCGCATTTCCTGAGATTTGCTTTGCTGGAGGAGAGTAAACGTTACCTTGTTCTGGATTTGCACTTCAATCTTCTCCAACTTCTGGACAGCAGCTTTACTCATCAGTAGTTTGATTGCTATTAGCTCATCCAGGACCTGGTGTCCAGAACTTCGTTCTTGCAACGTCCACCCTCGTATCATGCTTTGATTGTCCATTGTTATAGTGACACCTATCCCAAATTGAGGAGTGTGTTTGCTCTTTTGTGTTGCAAACCTTAGTCTCATGAGGCCTTCGATATGTTGCTGTTGCTGAGGGGATTCCGTCTAGTCTCTTGTTTCTCCTGTGCTCATGCTTGAGGTTTTTGTCAAAACTTCCTCATATTCCAACCATTCCTCTTGAGCTGTCTGCATTGTTTTCATAGGAGGGTGCTGCTTGGCATTGAATTTGTTCGCATTTCTGCTTTTCCAAATTTGCCAAAGGATATTTGCTGTTAGGGAGATATGTTTGCTACCTTCGCTTCTCATTCTGGCTTCCATCACCGTAGTCCACCACTTACTGAAGCAACCCTGCTGGTCTTGAATTCCTTCCCACTGGACAGGTGACATTTTCCATACTAATTTGACATGGCTGCAGTTAAGCAACGCATGCTCTATGGTCTCACCTTCCTCACCACAGAACCGGCATGTTGGGTCACCTTGTTTGGTTCTATCATAAATGAGTTGCCTTACCGGTAGCGCCTGGTTCAAACATTTCCACAAGAAAATCTTAACCTTGTGCTTGATGTTCAGCTTCCAAAGATATTTTCAACATTTTTGTCTAGCCGAACTCCAGCTTGTACCTACTCTCTCCCTGGCTTCTTGTGCATGTTCCCTCTGGACATCAACTTGTAAGTTGTAAGCTGATCTCACCGAGTAATTCCCATTGGAGGTGTGACACCAGTAGTTACTGTCCTCTCTATTGACTAGGCTTATGGGAATGCTTAGTACACTTTCTGCATACTTGGAGTTGAAATTTCTGAATATCAGATTTTGGCTCCATCTGTTGTGTATTATCAGCTCCTCTACCTTAGCCAGCTTGCATCCCTGTGGTTTCAGTGTGGTGACCTTGCCTTGATGTTTATCTGGCAGCCAGCTATCCTCCCATATGTGAGTACTCTTTCCATTACCTATTCTTCATCTGGACCCTTTCTCTATCAGGTGCCTTGCTCCCATCAGTCCTTTCCAAATCCAAGATGCATTCCCAGCTACTTTGCACTTGAGTAGTGAATCTCGCGGATGGTATTTGTCCTTGAGCACTCTGCTAACAAGTAGATTTGGTTGTGTGAGCAACCTCCACACTTGCTTACCCAGTAGAGATGCATTGAATGTCGCTAGATCTTTAAATCCCAAGCCCCCATCCTTCCTATCCAGTGATATTTTACTCCATGATCTCCAATGCAACTTGTTCTTTCCATTTGCCTCTCCCCACCAATAGTTTGCCATCACCGCATTGATCTCTTTGCATATCTTCTTTGGCAGCTTGAAACATGACATCATATATGTTGGCATAGCCATTGTCACTGATTTGAGCATCACCTCTTTACCTGCAGCACTTAACATCTTATTTTTCTATTTCTTCATTCTTTGCTGGATGTTGTCTTTAATGAAGCCGAATAGTTGCTGTTTTTTGAGCTGGTAATCACCATTGGGAGTCCCAAATATTTACCTTGGGTGGCCACTTGAATATTCCCAAGTGCTTGACAGATTTCCAACTTTAATTCCCTCTCCAGATTCGGGCTGAAGATGACTGAGGATTTGTCAAAATTGATGAGCTGTCCAAAACCCCTTTCATACACTTGGAGTAGTCTTCTGAGTTCAGTTGCATTCTGGGAGTCAGCTTTACAAAATATTAGCGAATCATCTGCAAAAAACTAGTGGGTTAATCTAGGCCCTTGCCTACTAATTCGCATGCCTGCTATTCTTTGTGCAGTTGCTACCTTGTTGAGGAGATTGGAGAATCCTTCAGAGCAAAGTAAGAATAGATAGGGTGACAGTGGGTCTCCCTGTCTAATTCCTCTCTGCGGTATTACATACTCCTTCACCTCTCCATTGATCATGAACGAATATGAAACTGATGAAATGCATTCCATGATCCAGCTCCTCCATTTGTCATTGAAGCCCATCTTCTGCATGATAGCTTCCAGGAATCTCCATTCCACCCTGTCATAAGTTTTAGACATATCTAATTTCACAGCCATAAAACCATCTTTCCCAAACCTTTTGTTTTTGAGATAATGAAGAAACTCATGGGAAATCATAATGTTATCTAGAATTTGCCTTCCAGGGATAAAAGCTTATTGATTTTTGCTTATACAGGACTGAAGAGTTGGTTTCAATCTACAAGCTAAAATCTTAGCTATAATTTTATACACAGTAGAGCACAAGCTTATGGGTCTATAATGCGTGAGGGAAGTAGGAATCTTGACTTTGGGAATGAGGGAGATAATGGTATGATTTACTGACTTAGTTAGATGACCAGTGTGAAAAAAAGTTTGAATAGCACCAACTATATCCTTTTTGACTATATGCCAGAACTTTTGGAAAAAAAGGGGGGGGGCATTCCATCTATACCTGGTGCCTTATCCGGATACATGGAAAATAATGCTGATCTGATTTCCTCCTCTCCCACAGGTTTAGTTAGATTTTCATTCATACTATTTGAGATCGTGTGTGGTATACCATCCAGAACCTCCTCCATTTCCCTTGTTTCTGATGCTGAGAAAAGGTGTTTATAGTAATCAGCAACTTCAGCACCAAGCTCTTTCTCACCATTAGTCCAGGTGCCATTCTCTCTTTGAATTTCCAACATGCGATTCCTTTTTCGTCCCCCCTCCACAGTAGCATGGAAGAAGCTTGTATTCTTGTCGCCTGTCTTTAACCATTGCACTCTAGCTTTTTGACTCCAGTACATCTCTTCATTTCTGTATGCCTCTTTCAAACTCTTTTTTAGACCATTCCTTACGTCCCTCTTGCCCTCAAAGTTTCTAGTTTTTAGCTCCTGCAATTGGCACTTGAGTGCTTCAATATTCTTTCTAGCATTACCTTGTATCTTGTTTTTCCATTGCAAAAGTGTCACCCTACACCTTTTCACTTTGCTTATAACTCTAAACATCCGTGTGCCTTCATCATCCTAGTCCCATGCCTGTTTGATAATGTCATTGATTTCTTCTCTTTGGAGCCAGCTTTTATCAAAATAGAATCGTTTTTTCTTCCTGGTTGGACATGGCTTGGTGTCAAAAATCAGCATGCTATGGTCAGATGCAATTGTATCCTGATGTTTGCAGGTGACCTGCTCAAAAGCTTGTAGCCAAGGGTAGCTACACAAGCCTCTATCCAGTCTTTGTTTTACTTCCCCAGGACCCTCCCAATTGTTACACCAAGTCCATGGATGTCCCTGAAATCCCACATCCATCAACTGGTTGTCATTAATGAAATCCCTGAATGCCTTGAAGCTACCCTCCTCCCTCCAGTTGCCACCCCATTTCTCATCATTTGACACAATGTCATTGAAATCACCTGCTATTAACCATTTGTCTCCCCGCAATCTTTTCCTCGCCTGTAACACCTTCCATTGCTGTTTCCTTACTTGATCCTCACTGTTGGCATAGACACCTACAAACCACCAATCACACTTGCTTTCCATATCCTCAATCTGAGCTTCAATAGTAAAGGCTGTTGTGATCACTTGTTTTATCCGTAAGTCCTCTTTCCATAGCAATGCCATCCCTCCTGCCTTGTTCATGGCATCCACAAAAATAGCTTCCTCAAAATGCAAAATTTTTTTTTACTTTTTCCAGGTATTTACTTCTGTTTTTTGTTTCACATAAGAAAATAATTTCTGGAGAGGAGAGGTTATTCGTCTCTCTCAACTGGGAAATTGTCAAGGGACTCCCCACACCTTGACAATTCCACACCAATACTCTCATTTATCCATTGGGGTCCATGAATGGTTGGACCCCTCTCCCTTCGCCCCTGACCTTAAGGAGTTGTTCTCCAAGTCAACCTTATTCCTCTTTCCTTCTTGCATGATTTCCTCATCGATGTCCATGTCAAGTTCCCCCTGAATCCCTTTCCTTTTCCCATTCTTCCTGTCCTTACCTGTATTACTGTTCGGCTCCTTCAATGAGTGCCTGTGTTTCTTAGGAGACTTTAGCACTCTCAGTATTCTTCGCGCCTGCTTGATCAGTGCCTCTTTAACCTCCGGTCCCTCTATTGTCTCCATGCTTACAGATGCCTGTGCTGGTATTATTTCCTTGATGCTGTCCGACCCTCCCACTTGGGTTACCAAGGTACCCTGTTCCTCTTCCAACATCAGGCAGTCACCTCCTTCGTTTGTAGTGCCTTTACCTTGTTCTTGTACAAGTCTCTCAGCTAACTTAAGAACTTTCGGACCATGATCCATATCCTCCACTTCCCTGTTTTCATGCAAGTTCCCTACTGTCTGATTAGTCTTCCTTACTAACTCAGCACACACGTCTAATCTTGGTAGCAGACTCTCACTAGTGTTACCTCCTTGTGCTGCTTGGCCAGTTCCTACTTTTCTTAGTTCCCCAACCTCAGGCTCGGTGTCTTTGGTTTTACTTTTTCCTTTCTCTGTTTGTGTTTCCACTCTTTGCTCCTTATCTTCCGCTTCTCTTTGCTTAGTCCATTCCCCATTTTGGAGCCTCCAAAGGGATTTTTGAGGGTTAAATACCATGCCAGCCTGTTTTTCGTGAGGTGAGTTTCTTGCACCACCAGCTCGCAGCCATGGACCATATTGATTATCTTTCCTCCCCGACCCCTGCAGACCTTGTTTCATGCATGTCCTTTCGCTATGACCAATAATCCCACATTTGTAGCAAAAGTCCGGGCACCTCTCATATTTGAAGCTTGCCCATTTTGTGGTTTCCCCTACCTTGACAATTGTTCCTCTCAAGAGTGGTTGGGAAATATCTGCCATCACCAAAAGTTTTAGGTGTCTTCCTTCCTTGCCTCCAGTCTGAGGGACTATTACCTCTCTAACCTTGTGGAAGTTTACACCTATCTTTTTACCTGCTTCCTTGGACAACCAATGCACTGGCAAATTCCAAACCTGTATCCATAGAGGAGCTATCCGAAAAGCCTGATCATCCTCCTCAATACCCTCATACCAGTCGCTTAGCACCAATAACTGATTGTCAAGTAGCCATGGTCCTCCTGTCAGAATCCTATGTCTATGACTTGCTGATGGTAATATGAACTGAAACAAGTTGGCTCCAAGTTCCACCACTTGTAGGTCTCTTGGGTAGCTCCAAGCATTTAACACAAAATTCTTGATCCCTGTGTAGTTTGCCACTTTCTCTCCCATAACTTTACCGATCAAACTATTCTTACATTCCTTAAGTCCCCCAATTAGTTCCTCATTGTCCAGACTTGTCATTTGGAGCTCTGTACTAGAAAGGTCAAAGTTTTGCAAGATTTCGGCCAGCTCATCCGCCATGATAAGGACTTTCTGTAGGAATACCACACACTACTCTACAGTTTGAATAAAATCCTATCCCTTATGTTCGAAGATGGATAGATCTACAGCACCAAACCAAAGGGCTAACCTAGATGGGAAAGGTACTAAGATACAAAAGAAAACAGCTTGGGAAAGACAGTTATGGTTCGGAAATTACCTGTCCGAGCTTGCGTGGGTGCCAATAAGATCTGGTTGCCAGAATGCAGAAGCAGCTTTCTGGGTGGCTCTTTTATGCCTCTACACTGTAGTGACTCTTAGCTTCCCCTGCATTGGATGCTTTTTTTTCCCTCTCACTCTCTGTTTTTTTGTATGCTGTATCGATTCTCTCTCTCTTTTTGGTTTTTTTTTTCTCACTCCAGCTAACAAAGTTTAGCTAAGTGTTTAATACCTCTGGGACCTGTGTTAGTGGGGATTGACCAGGATTGCTCGCTGTTGCTAAGAATCCGACAGCACTAAACAACAGCATACGTTAAAGAAGCGCAGACAGAATGAATTTGAAAGGTACTCCAAAGTTCTAGTTGCTGGGTATTGGTTGATTTTTCAACCCACAAAGCTGCACTTTTCAGACTTGTTGGTAGCTCTCACCAGGGGGAGAGAAAGCTCTCTCTTTTAGAGAGAGAGAGCCTCTACTTTAGAGAGAGGATGAGTCACGGGGTTTTGAGACTGCTTCTATGCATATCGATGTTCCACAGCGGGAATGTTCCTGAAGTGGTCCGCAATTCAAAGGACACAAAACACTCTGTGATTGCCTAAATATTTCTTCTACTATTGTGATTGCCGCATATTCCATTTATATACTTGTATTTTAAGATGCCATTGAAATCTAATTGAATTTCATAAACAAGAAAAACCTAGAAATAATTCTTCGAAGTATGCTACATGTCTTTTTTCTTTTCGAGTCGATAAATCATGGATAAACTTTTGTGTTATTTTTTCCAAAGATCAAAAGTTGATAAGTTCAGAATTTTTTTCACAAATGAGAAGAAACATCGTCTTGGTAACATCGATCGCTTGATTTCTTTTATCGGTTTCTTGCATTATTTCTCTCTCATCTTATTTTTAGCCAAAATCTTTCTTTAGGAAAATTAGATTATGGACTAATTCCACACCTCTCTGATTAAACTCTTTTTAAGACACACCCCTTGTGATTAAAAAATATTCACTAACATCCAATGTGCTTTTAATTTAAGTGAAAAACTGACAGAAATAGACTCTACTAGTGAAAATTTAACTTTACACAATCCAATAGTGCAACTGATTAATTACTTGTTTCTAGTGATAATAAACTAAAATAATGTTTTCTTTCGAAAATACCCTCAGATGAACATTTGCTCTTTATAATAAAAATATATCAACCATTTTTTATTGTATAGAAGGTTCAAATACCCTAAAAGTGATGATTTGAAACTTTTTAAAGATTGCAAATGTTAATTTGGAGGTATTTGTAGAGGAAAAATATTATTAATTCTTAACGCCATTAGAATCAAGTAACTAATTGCACTATTGAAATGCTTACAGTGAAATCTCCGCTAGTGAAGTCTGCTTCCATGTTTTCCTACTTAAATTCAAAGCACATAGGGTACAAGTGGACTTTTTTGAACCATAAGGGGTGTATCTTAAAAAATGCTAAACTATAAGGGAAATATGAGGAATTTGCCCCTAAATTATTATCCAGATTATGATACTTTCAGCTTTCAATAGCCCATTACGACCATACATTTTTTCACTTTATTGGAGTTCTTGAAAATTTCTAAATGCATGTAGCCTTCATCACATGTATCGAAAAGGAAAATTTGCACGTAGTTTTTCTCCTGACCTGAAATTTAGAAATGTTACGCACGTAATTATTTTTCCTGATCAGCAGCACATTGATTTACCAATGAGGATTTTTTAGGTCTCCAAGAGTTTTAGATTCTCAATTGCGTTGGGGTTGGTATCTAGTTATGGTATATCTGCATCTTTACAAATGTTGATAATCAATTTTGGAATGCCATTCAATTCAAGACCAAATATAGGTGTGATGGGGCGTAGTGTGGTGCGCAGTAACCAGGATGTCTGTTGGCTACCTTGCTTATTTTCCTTAAGGGATAATTTCAGAGGCTTCTAATAATTTTACTTAGCATTCTTAAAATTTTAAAAGTAATTTGTATGACAAAAGATGTTAGTTTTATTCCTATTCATAAGAGTTTATCATTCAAAGTAGATTGTTCCGGGCCGTATTTCTTGTAATCACAGCATTGAATGACAGAGCCAACATTTGTATTTGTGTGTATAAATGTGGATTGAAACTAAGATATGAACATTTGTGTGAATTTTGAATAATTGATGAAATTAAGGTTTTTGTTTGTTTGTCACAATCTTGGTTCAATGATTTTGGAAAACCAATGTACGTGTCTAATAAATATAATAGGAAATCATGAGTTATACGAATAGATGGAGTACATGAAAAGGAGAATGGTTTGTAGGGTGCATTGGTAAGTTTAATTCTCTTGAGCCTTATACATACATACATACATACATACATATATATATACACACACACACACACACACACACGTAAAAAGGGATTTTATTTAATAGAACATGAATGTACATAAGTGCAAAGGAATTTGCTCCACAAAAATACGGCTACAACCAATTAAGCTATACAATAGTACTGCTCAATGAACTAAACTCCGATTATGCTGTCAACATTTAAGGAAAATCTCTTAGGAAAAATCCCAACTAAGGTAAAATTATCATTTGTCCCTTGTATTCAATACATTCTTCTATTCTACCACATAGCTGTGAATCTCCTTTAGCACTCTGCGTACAATAGTTTTAGCATCAGAGGCTTTATATTGGAACACCCAATAATTTCTCTCATTCCATATATAATATACAGCTACTCATAGTGCCAACTTCTTTACTGTGTTTATAAAGCATTCTTTCTTCCAATGACAACTGAGCCATTCAACTTCAGTATTCCATTCATAAGTCCCTCAATATTGCAAGCAGCATTGATGTATTCTTGACCAAATATAAGCTGTACACTTGCATTGAAAAAAGAGTTGATTACAAGATTCATTTCCAGTATAGCATAATACACATTTCATTTCAGTCATAACGCCCCACTTAACCAACCTATCCTTTGTGCTTAATCTGTTCTCACACAACAACCATAAGATAAATGAATGTTTTGGGATATATTTTTTGAACCATACAAGATGATGCCAATAGACCTCAGCAGCGAAATGATTCAACACTTCATTTGCATATCTGAT